TTAATGATTATTAGAAAAATAGGAAATTGGAGGGACATGTGTAAAGGTGGACTTACAGATTATTGAAGAAGATTTTATGTCCACATAGAGATTGTGTCAAGTCTAAACATATGATAGACAACCTATTATGGTATTATTTTAGAAAAAGTATAATTAAAATACCTTAACTTTAGACATATCATTTTAGAAGTAAAACTAAACTAAAACAGTGTTATTATGATTTGAAGATTAAAACTTGAAATTGGATAATAACTTTAGAAGGGTGGCTTGCTAAAACCATCTAGTTACTAAAGTTGGTCACGATTTTTAACCGGACCAGTATTACTAAGAAATGGAGATGGTTTTCAAGCCTAGTGATATGAAATGGGCAATGCATCCTTTTGAAAATGTAGAAGCAAATCTCTGAGCCATAAATACAATTCTAAAAATGAATTGGTTTGTTATATTGGTTTTGCTCTTTCATGAACACCATGGTAATCTATGAAGAAAATTGACTTTTTGAAGGGAAATTAAATGGCTTTTAAGAGCTTTCTAAAGGGGTGTAGTATGTTAGGAAAAAGCCAATAAAACTTGTGTTTTAAATGGTAAAGATCTTGCTACATTTATAATTCATGTTGTGTTCAGTCTGTATCAGAGGATGATGACAGCACTAACTATAAAGGGCAGGCTGATGGTACATCTTGGATGTCTGAATTTCTCTACAGTGAAGATATTCTACACATGGCCTTTCCAATCAGTAACTTCAACGGAACAAAATTACAAGGTAGGTGTGACTGAACTAACAGACAGCTTGATAGCTTTGATGAAATCGAAGAGTATAAACCACACATTTTTGTGAAATATCTTTTTATTTCATTTTATTTAAGAATATTACATTTTATTTTGTTATTTTTCTGAGAAAGGTTTTCACCTTTTGCTTCTAGCTAAGAAGAATAGAGGAAGAACAGAAACTGGGAAAACAAACAAATATCAGTATTAAAATTGCAGACAAAACAATGTCATAAAAACATCTCTTTCTCTTCAGAAATATATATTATATCTAAAGACCTTTGAGATGTACATTTGTGCCTAGAGCAAGGTGGGTGGCTGAAAACTCTATCCACCCAAGGTGAGCAGCTGAAAACTCTACCTCCACCTGTGTGATTTCTGATGAGTTTTCAGATAGACAGAATTCTCATCGGAGCTAATGAACTATCAACTGGAAGGTTTTTTTCAACATATCTTTATCATATCATAAGAAGGTCAATATAGCAGGAATATTTGATAAACAAAAGCTGTCAGTAATTTTTTGTTTACAAATTACTGCTGTAATTTGTGCACTGCCTACTGTCTGATTCTATTTCTATGAAAACAATTCTTAAAAAGTAATTTGTTTCAGTAATTTGAGGCTTATAAGTTTAATAAATTATATAATGTCAAACTTTGGCCAAATTGGCTTTTCCAGAATCCTAAATATTAAAGCAACTTCATTAGCATCTATAAGATTATAACACCCATTGGTTGGGGGATTCCAGACTATCAATTGTCAACTACTGTTACAACTAACTTTATAACTGAATTTTGATCTTTTTAAACGTTTTTTTACAATGGATATTTTAGTCAGTAGTTTTGGCTCCATCTAACTGATATAGGCTGCAAACCAATGAATAGCAAACTTGCTTAGGTCCTAATACATACTGATTCCAGAAATGAACCAATATTGTAGAATGTAAGTTGGTATTTAAAAATAATTTATATCTAAGAGCTAACTGAATTATCATAGTTCTTCTCTAGCAACTCTTCATTAAATTTCTTTAAATCTTATAGTAGGAAAGCTACTATTTTAAATACATAAGAGATGAAATGTGTGATAGAAAATATGCTTCCAGATTTATAAAGCAAATATTAAATGAAGCTGATATAAGCTGAGTATTTTCTGGGTATGCTTGACAGACACAGGCACAGAAAGAGAGCGAGAGAGATACACATATTTCTAGATCTAAGTGATTTCTTGCTAATACATTAAAAGTGTATAACTATAAACAAATCATCATAGATAACACTGAGTTAGTTGAAGGGAAGGCTATAACTGCAACTTTAAATATCATCTGCATATACCAGCTGATCATGCACGAAAAGAAACCATGTTCACTCCATTCCACCTTAGTTTTTGTGTAAATCAAATCATTTCAAGCAACCCAGAAAACAAAATGAATCTTAGAGAATTGTAAGAACTCTTGCTATGGGAATATGTTTGTTTCTCCTTCTTAAATTGAAAATATTTTTTTCTGAAAAACACTCAAAGTTAAAGCATTTTGTGCTAAAAGTATAGTTATATCATAATTTTTGTGTAATGACATATGGAGAACATGGTAATAAACTAAACACATGGCTTTTTTGGAGAAATGTTAACAGATCTAGATAGAGTGAAACTGGAGAAAACCTTCTGAGTAATATTCTTTATGATACTGTAGTGATGTACTAGTCCAAGGGTCTGCAACCCTGGCCTATTTAAGACTTGTGGACTTCAACTCCCAGAATTCTGGGAGTTGAAGTCCACAAGTCTTAAAGTGGCCAGGATTGCAGACCCTTGGACTAGTCCAGAATGTCTAGAGATGTCTTGATTAGGCCATCATGAGAGGCCAGAAGGGATTATCAAAAAATAAAGAATGGAGACAGTCATCTATCAGGCACTTTATGAATAGGATATCCAACATATATGCAGTTGAATTAAATACTCTCTTAGCTTTTAAAAAGCTTTTAACCCATTTTTTTCAGAATATAGTACACTAACTATTGTTGCAAACTTTTTTTATTCTATTTTTACCAAAAGGGAAAATTTTGCAGGAAGCAAATCTAGTTTCCTTTTGAGTTAAATAATGGTTTCATATGATTCTCAAATAACATATTAGGGTGGTGTAATTTCTCTGAAGCTTTGAGAAGCAATTCCACCCATCTACAATTAGAAAAGTTAAGCAGCTATATTGCTTGTGCCATGGTTCTAATCTTGGTATAGTCCACTTATGTAAGGAGCATTTAAGATGTCAGGCTTCTGATTAATAGTATGGCAAATAAAGAGTAGGTGATTTTGTTTACATCACTGAATGCACCATATGAAAGCTTTAGGAGAAGGTTAAATATGTTTAAGCTGTAGAACAAGTAGACTACATATTTAAGGAAAAGTGATAACTTGTCTAGGCAAGAAAGTTGAGAAATATTCTCTTTTAATAGTCTGGATGGGAATCTTTTAGGAATACTAAAATGTCACTGCACACTACTTGGAACTGTTAGACTTGAGACATCGTGGTGCTATAAAGCTGTATCTTTATTCACGTTTCTCAGTGCTATTTTATTGCTTGCAAAACAGCATTTTCATAGTGACATGGGATAACACTATTAAAACAAGTTTGGGTTAATGTGTGACAAATGGATACATTTGAGAAAAACTGATTTGAGAAAGTATCTAATTTTTTTAAACAGGCTGACCCTGCCAGTTTGAGCTACTTGAGGAAGCAACAGGACATCTATGTAATTGATTTTTTTCAACTATAATAAATTTGACCATATTTATTTTAGAGTATCTTTTATACTTTTTAATTTTATCATAAAATATTTCATATGCATAGGAAATTTATAGACTTTGGCATCATTTCCTTAAAGTATCTCTTGTTCCTTTCTGTAAAAATCTGCATTAAAATGGCTTGGTCAAGATTCATTGTTTTGAATTATATTATTCATCCTTACTGTGGAACATTTTATCTTTTACAACTGAAAATATATTATAGAACATCTTATGTTATAGCAGTTCACTTAGGAAAGAGCACATATGACTTCCTTTTAATAACAACAATCTATTGTGATCCTTTCCATGTAAGAAAAAAGCACTCAAGTCATATTCTCAAACTCATACTCAAATTCCATTGCTTTTTTAAAGGATATGTTAAAACAAAAATGAATACATGCAACAGAATACCAATTTGATCTGAAACTTTCTTTGCAGACTTTGAACGTGCAGTGCTCGGACTTTAGTCCTGTGAATTTTAAAAAGTGTAACTCTTCTTAGTTTTCTCTAATTTTGTCTTTGCTATGTATTCTTTTACTTTTATTTGGAAGGAGAATTACTTGTAGTTTATAAAATCCAAAGTTGAGGGGCACCATTTATAAATAAATCAAATTGGGTTCAATCTGTTGAGGAATAAATATTTTTTCTCGATGAAATATCTATTTAGAAATACAATGGATACAGCTCATACTGTAATGAATACTGAAACGTAAGACAGTTATTATTGGTGAAAAATTCTTACTTGCATACATATATCATTCGGAATATAACAAGACTGACATCAGCAATAGGAAATAGTTTGCAGGCTTTAAGGTCAGCCAACATACACCGGGCTACAAGTAGCACAAATTATTTAGACCTTTTTCTCGGAGGTATAACTCAATTCCTCAAAGTACCACCTAGTTTCCTAACCATATTTTTCATTATGCGATTGAGTGTGCTTTTTAAGAGTACACGTGCATGTGCGCACACAGACAAATACGATTTCTTGGGTTTTTGTGAAGCAAAAACAAACAAAAAACCCCCCACCAAACATTGCATTTAACCCATAGGGAGCTTCAGAGGATTGTGGAGGGTTGAAAAATAAATAAATTCAGGCTCAGTGGTTGTTGAGATCTGCCAGAGATTGGGCGGCTGTTTGCAGCGTCCGGGGAACAATAGGTACCTGTATTCTGCATGGACCGCTGGGCGGGGACCAAGTAATCTGGGAAAAGCTTTGCCTACTACGCTGAGACTTCCTCCGGGAGAATGCATAATAAGAGCACCACTTTCCCGCGAGGAAGGCGAGAAGGAATCTCGGCTGTTGCATGAGGAGGGGCCAAATGAGCTTTAATCATTTCTAGCCAGCCTTGACTTGGCCTGAACGTGATGTTCTCGGTCTAGAACTCAGCAGGGATGCCTTTCCCCTTTACTACTTCAGTCAGACACTCTCTCTGCAGAAGAAGTACATGCCGCTCCTCGCCTCTTCCAGGCGGGCGGGCGCGCGCGCGCTCACGCCTCCGCCGCCCCCCCCCTCCCACTGGTCTGAGCAGGCAGCTTAAGTGTCACCGCTACAACCGAGCCCAGTGCAGCACCCGTCGCCATGGCGTGAAGAGGGGCCCCCGGGAGATGACAACAACTAAGGAGCTTCGTTCGGCTTTCAAGTTGGGGTAAGGGAGACTCTTTATTTCCTCCAGACTTTTCGGGTCCTTGAAGACAAGGGTTTTATCTTAGGCTTACCTTATTTTCAGGGTGAAGCTCTTTGCAAAGCCCGGACCGTAGGCATATATTGCCCATGGAGAAACTGACTTGCCCCGCTTTTTCGGAGATGAGAACTCTTCGAATTCGAGTGGCTTTTAACATTCGGCAGCCGAAATGGATTCTTTTCTCTCCCCCCCTTCTTTTTGCAGAAGGGAGGGGATGGTCCTTGGGGTTAGAGTGCTTACTTGTTCGTTAGAGTTCAGAGTGAAAAACGTCCCTTCGCCCTGGCTTTCCGTCCCAATTTTTACTTTTTTACACCCTTGCCTGTCCTGAGGTCAAAGACTTAAAAAATTAATGAACTTCCCTGCCGAGTTCAAATAACATAATCTACACGAAGGGCTGAAGCAGAAGATCTCAGGGATATTTTTTATGCAGGTGTAAAGTTTAAACTTTAATATGTTGTTTTCTGAGTACTTTATATTAATTGGAAGTATATTTTTGCATTAGAAAAATGTCAACTATCTAAAATATTAGCACAATGCAATGTTAACAAAACACATTGCTGAGCATAACAGAACTAGGTAGGTTTTTTTTTAAACTGCATAAATAAATAATACGGTGATTCTCCCTACATCATAGGTGTGTAGTAGATTATTGGTAAGCAATTTCCTAAATATGTAATTCAGAGAAATTCATAGCAATTGAGGAAAAACAGTTTGACCCATAAATTTTAAGTTATATCTTAAAAAGATAGCCAAGAATGTTAGCAAAATAAATTGAATTATACAGTGAAACACAAAACAGTTTTAAAAGGTCTAATATGTGCCTTTTGTTATTTATGATGATGAAACAAAAGCCACAAATTATTATTGGTTAGTTCAAAAAAACCCAGCTACAGTGAACAATCCTTTTAAAAGACCTAATGGGTTCAGCAAAATACTATCTGTGTATAGAACTAGTTATTTTGTATTGGTTGTAAAATACAGCAAAAGAGGCAATTTGAAAGCAGTGTGCATTATATGAGAGACATGCATTATATTCAATCACCCATTTCTAAGTTTCATTTTATAATTATGTAATTATGCTTCTTCATGGAAAAATAACGTTGAAATCCAGTTTGCTTTAAAACATATTCATTTCAGCTGGAATGCATGTTATTTATTCAATGTGATGCAAGGACAAGAAAATGCTTTTTCCTTTTGGATCTATTGTGATGGGCATAGGGTGATCTGATCTTTTTAATTTTGACTTTCACACTCCAGAAGATTAAAGAAAGATTTCAGCTCTTTTTAGTGATTGCTTAAGTATTTCTAAATGTTTAAAAGACTATTCTTGGTTGCTATGGCCAGTCTGACCTCTCTCTTTGCCATTTTAGGGAATAAGGCAATCCTTTTTTACATTAATTCTATCTACCTTGATTTATGTCTAAAATTGTGACTAAATGTCTTTGTTTCCAAGTGATAAATGTGGCATGTATTAAATCATTTATTAGAAGTAAACACTGCTCTCTTACTCAAAATACGTTTTGTTCTGAGTTAATGGTATGGAACAAGCCACTCTCAGCAAACAACTATCTATTATTTTAAAGAGCCACTGAAAACTTGGCTCCAGAAGGAGGAAATTGGCATTCACTTTCTCTTTCATTGGTGTTTCGTTTCTGATATCTGATGATGATGAGACAGCATGTAAATTGAAATGAATGCCTAGCGTTCCATTCTCCAGCCAGATGGAAATTGGTTCACTTTTGTATATATATTCCATAACATCTCCCACATAATGTTTGTCTGCTATTTTATTATCACTGACTATACAAAAGATATGTAAATAAATGTATTCTTCTGATAGAGGCTCACTGTTTTATATTAGTTCATTGAATAGCATCAGATTTTGTTGTTACAAAAAATGTTCACTTTTACTTAATGTCCCGTGCATATTAGAAAAACTCTTTCAGAAAGATTTGGTTTTTTAAGATGTTTTTTCCCCTGGCATAAACTGCTTATTGAAGAAATACAGCAGGGCTTCTCCCCCCCCCCCTCTGTTAGATGAAAATTACTGGTTTGACTTGTTTGGATTTTGTATCCCAGCCTAATGTAATAATGATCTCAGGCTAGCAGAGAAAATGATTTGGGAGTTTTATATGCTTGAAAAACACATTAATGCTTAACTTTTTTTCCTTAAAACAATTAGCTAAAATTGCAACTGTAATGCAGCGTGATACCTAATGCGTTACCAATAAAATTTTTGATTTAATTAAGTACACAAAGTAATATTTTTAAGGAATATATTTATTTTCTTTAACATGCAGGAAGAAGTGCATGATTAGTCCCATTGATTTTAGGGGTCCACTTTATGTCTAGATACAAGGAATTAGCTAATGGTTTTCAAAACTGATTGCTGTCTCCCAATTAGGCATCAATTGGGAGACCTAAAGCAGTGTTTTAATATTGTAATAAGAGTTCTGTTGAATAATGTTTTATAATTTAATTCTGTTATATATCCTGTAATATTGAAAATACAATTGAAGGTGTCTGAGATTTGAGATTATAAAGATGATGCTTCCTCTTTAAAAAGGTCAGTAGATGAAGTCTTCAAAATGTTTAATATAGAAGGAGACAAATTTAGTTAATAAATGGCATGCATTAGTTTTCAGATTAACAGACTTGGAAGTTGGATCTTTTGGAACATTATTCAATATTAGATGAATTGGAGTATGTAAGGGGATTGTTAAGGATTATACAGGTAGAATTATGATATATGAAGCTTGAAGTCAAGGAATTTAGCCTAATCAAAACAAAAACGTCCCTTCAGCGAAAGAAAGGCTCAAGAGAATATAAATTGCACTTTGTTCTAAGTCTGATTCCAACCACACTATAAACTAACTGAAAAAAGCACACTGTTCTAACATGTATTAATGACATTTATTTGGCAAATGGTTACCTTCAAATATATTTACAGTGAAATAGTTATAAATTAAGAGTTTAATAGTATTTTTGGTTGAAAGATCATCATGAAGAAATGCGGGATATCCAAGAAATTCCACATCACAATCATTTCTCAATATGTAAAGTAGTACAAATTTGATTTGCCCTTCTGAAACCAGTGCATGAGGTGAAACAACATTATAAATGTATAAATGTGTGAATTTGCAAATGAAAATATATGTACAAAATGTATATACTAATGACAGGTATGCATAAAAAACACATGCATATACAACACACACACATCCTGCATTAGGAAAATTGTTTATGAAACTGCATTGACAAATTTATGTATTTTAGGAAAAAAAAGTGTAAGACTATATAGATTTCCATAAATTAACATAACCCTAACGTTATAAAAAAGATCAGGAAGGGATGATGAAGAAAGAGAAACAACTTGAAAAAAAGATAACTAAACAAATTCAAATTGGATCATTTATTCCTACTTGCGTAAATCAATGGCTAGGTAATAGACAGTTATTTCCTGATATCAGAAACTTCATAATTAATTGAAGCACATAATGCTGTTTTTAAATATTTATTGTCACTCTTCTTGATGATGTATGTACGTTTTCATCTTTTGTATGTTTGCTTAAAAATATTAAGTGATAGAATTACACTGTCTCTATTAACTGGTGCCAGATATAGCACTATTGATTAACTAACAGAAGATACCGTGTAAGCATTTCAGCTGTCACCTTTATATTGGGCTTCATCAATTGCAGTACAAATGTATTTACCACTAATTATTCTTATGTTTTGACTTCCTGTAATTTGCGATCTAAGTCTTACATTTTCCATTATCTTTTCATCTTTGTAGGTTTGTACTGCCTTCTGCTTCTGAAGTATAATATTGTTAGGCATATGTGTATTTCTGAAACATGTGGAGAGTCAATTGAGTAGGAGTGTGTTAAAGCTCCTTCATTAAATGAAAGCCATATTAAACATTATATCTTGTTAATTTGTTTAATACAACACTGCCAGCATCCCATGTCTGTGCTTTAGAAATGTTATAAATACTACATCTCAAATTTCTAAAGTCAGATTTATATGTAAACATCTTTGTAACTCAATGATGTTCAAAAAGCTGCTTCCCTCATTCTATCATACACAGCCAAAAAAGATACAGCAGAAATGCTGTATTTATTCACTTTCTTAACAGAAGTGTTTTTGTTCACACTTCCAATCAGACATTCATTTTAAGCAGGGCAGTCCTCATTCCCATTGTTTTGATTGTTCTGTTTTTTCCCCATCCTTCTTTTCTTCTCCAACTATTACTTTCCGTTTGTTTTCAAAGAGTGTTTTTAAATTTCAGTTCTCCCAAGCATGTTGATACTAATCTCTCTTGATCCTTAGTGAAGCCATTCTGGCTCCTTTTGCATTGGCACAAATTATATGATTTTATTGAGGAGCTCAATTTTTTATTTTTTTAAACTTTCCAGTTCTGTATTTCTTTTGATTTTTTTTTTCTGCTTATATGGTCTGACTTTGTATTCTTAGTGTGCAAAGAACAATTCTTTGCAATTGGCTGCCAAGTTAAAACATGTAGCATGGTAATGCCCATTAAATATATAAAATATTTAACTATTCTGCACTTTTGCCCATTTCTTCTGGAATGAATAAACGCTCCATAAAGAAAAGATACAAGCTAGAACGCAGGCAAGAAAAAACCAGAATATTTTAAGTAAATAGTTTAAGTAAAAGTAAGATAATTACTTTTATATAAAAATGATGAAAAAAACCAGAATAGTTTTTCTCATCCTTTTTATATAAAGGTGATTATCTTATTATACCATCACATTAAGATCTTAGTGGTTTTGAATTATCGTCCATTAATGCAAATGCGCATTGTGTTGTGTCTAATGCAGTGTTATTGCAAGTTATTTAGAGAATAAAGAGAATTAATGCTTCACAACTACCAAAGACAGATTTCCTCCAAATCTGCTGTTGATTTCTTTCCCTTCCACTCCCATCCATACACAAAAGCCTAGGCCTTAACTGGATGCCCCATTTTGTGCTAGATGTTAGAAAAATCCTTTTCTGTATAATCACTCCTGCAAATTGTTTTCAGTTTGAAATTCTTACTTTCTTCCTCCTGGCCACAAAAATCTCCAGCCTATGATTTTGCATACTTTACTGTATATCTAAATTGCACTGTACAGAAATATTGGCAGTGATGAGCAAACTTGTAGAATGTAGTGGTCTTCTTGTATTGCCCTTTGGCATATTGTTATTAATGTTTCAATTTAGAGTATTCCTCTGACTTACCAGATACCCAATGACTTTCATAAAAACAAGATCTAGAAAGGGAATCCTGGGAAATATTATCAATTTTTCATGAAGATCAAAGCACTGAACTTCTGCACATATCCTTTGAAGCCTATTAAATTGAAATACAGAATATTGTTAGCTCACAGTAGATACTGTTTCCTTATTTTGAAGAATGATTTGAACTTAAGTTCTGCTTTTTGAAGTTTTTATGAATTTATATTTTTCTTCGTAGTCTCCAAAATTATTTGTTCAAAATCAAATATTACTAATAATATTTCTTCTTTATACACAATGTGCGTTTTTCTTCCATTTAATATTCATTAGCCACTGTTACAATTTTGAAACTACTATGATATATTATCTTTTTATACATTGTACAATTAAAATTTTAGCAAGATGATTTATTTTTATGACAACTTTCTTCTAGTAATTTGTGTGTTTTTTCTTCTTCTAATTTATCCAAAAATATATAAATTAGGTTATGCTGTGCTACGAGCATAATGAATATTTGATTTGATTTGAAATTTGATTAAAGTTCTTTTTAGATCTTTGTTATTTTTGTTGTTTTTGTTGTCTAGCTTCACTTGAAGCTTAGCCATTTGTTAAATGTTTTGTGGGCAAAACACACTTAACAGACGTCTTGCTTATCAACAGAAATTTTGGACTCAATTGTCGTAAGCTGGGGACTACTTGTATTATTGTTAGCCTCCCAGACTTGTGTGTCACAAAGTAGGCAGCTGTAAAAATCTTTTAAATAAAATAAGTAACATGCTGATTAAATATACTTACAGTTCAATATTCAGTCTACACAATAAGAAACTATTATAATCAGGCCCTTGGTTACACAGAATATTGTAAGTATGTTCAACAGAATACAATCCCGTTTTGTCTTTAAAAGATACTAATACGAGAAAGTCATGAACAGAATAGACAAAGTCCTTCTTTTAGATTATTGGACCTTGAGCCTATAAACTATCATACTATGAAAACCTTATTTTAATCAATTCAGAATCTTTTTTTTTTTTTTTTGCAGTTCAAAAGGTATAACAGGACTTCTTCCCACTCAATGTACAGTAAAATATTATATGAATGAGAACCCTGGACTGAGATGAGAATATAAAGAACAAGATTGAATATTCTGGTATGTTTTCTCTATAATTTTCTTTAGACTTGTCAAAGTTTTATGTAAGTTTTTATTTAGTTTTGTCAATGTTTGTTTATTTTTATCCTACATTTTATTATTTTTATAAATTACTCAAGACAGTCTACATACCTATTTTCCTTCCTCCTATTTTCCCCACAACAACAACCCTGTGAGGTGGGTTAGGTTGAGAGAGTGACAGGCCCAACAATAACCTGCTGACTTTCAAGCCTCAGGCAGGACTAGAACTCATAATAGCAATAGCACTTAGACTTATATACCGCTTTATAGTGCTTTACAGCCCTCTCTAAACGGTTTACAGAGTATTGTCTTCAACAGTTTGGGTCCTCATTTTATCTACCTTGGAAGGATGGAAGGCTGAGTCAACTTTGAGCCTGATGAGATTTGAAGTGCCAAATTGCAGGCAGCTGGCAATCAGCAGAAGTAGCCTCAGTACTGCACTCTAACCACTGTGCCACCATAGCTTATCATCTCCTGGTTTCTAGGCCAGTATCTTAACCACTACTTCAAACTAGCTCTAAATGTTAATTAGATTAGAAGTTAACAAGTATAATTAAAATACATTTCTAATTTTCATAGGCTTGGTTTATTCTAGCTTGTCTCCCATATCCCTTATCTCATTTTATTACAAATGTCTACTTCTCTAATTCTTCTAATAAAAAATTAATTGTATGTGCAAGTGAGTTCAGATCTATTCTAATAATATATTTGGGTTAAATCAAATGTAAATCTCTCTTCAGGATTAGTGCTTTTTTGGCATGAAGATTCCCAATATGATATCAGGCTCTTGTTTCCCAGTAGTTTTGTGGAATGGGACAACTTGCTGTAAACAACTTGTCACAACCAACTCGCGGCCAACTCACCACACGGCAAATTGGCCACTGCAAGTTGGCTGCAGTGAGTTGGCCACAGTGAGTTCGCCGTGGCAAGTTGTCACAGATCCGTAGTTTTGAGGGCATCCTTATATTAACTGTAATGGCTGCTCCAGAAAAGAGAAGGGAAGAACACATACCTGTTCCATTCTATAACCCAGATTTTCCTATCATATACTCGAAGATGTAGTCTGAAATATTAATATGTAAATGAACATCACAGGATAAATAGGAATGAATGATTTAGTTTGTTTCTTATGTCTGCATGTATTACCTATAAGACCAGTAGTACTAAAATGTTGTTTCTCAGAAAACAATGTATTTTGTTTGAAAATAAAGAATTTATACTTTTTTGCTGAATACCATACATGTAAGTTCCCGCGAAAACTTAAGAAAACATTTTATATCTATATCTATATCTATATCTATATCTATATCTATATCTATATCTATATCTAT